TGTATTGCTCCGAGAGGGGGGATTATGTCTCCGCTGGTGTGGCTAGTTGGCGGGTATGAGCTACAACAGGCGTCGTAGGGGGCTCTTTTGGTTTTTTTTTTTTTTTTTTTTTTTTTTTTTTTTTTTTTTTTTTTTTTGTTCTGACACTGACTGCACAATCGCAATTATCATTCCTATCTCTCTTGGTGGTCCTACTTCGACGTCAAGACCGGGAGACCCGTGCCGTGCCGCATGGTGTGCGTGATAGTATTGTGCAGCATAGATATGGATCCGGCGACGACAACGTGCCCAAATTCTCCGAATCATGCCTCCTATCTGTGGTTTCTTATTGTAAACAACTTCAAAGTAATTTTATTTGTTTATTTGTCATGAAAAGTCATTGAACATGGACTGGCTGACTATGTCATTACAAAACCCTAATCCCCAGATGCAAGCTAACCCAAAACTCCTACAACCCCCGGCGTCTCAATACCCCCCCCAAAACAACCTCTGATCCGGATCGAGGGTATTCCGATCGGTATTCCAGGTAAACGCCATCGGCGCAATCACCTCTAGATGGGCCGCGATATGCGACAGCAGTAGCCTGGCCTTGCGGCGGTCCGCATCGTCGTTCAGGGGGAAGTCCGTGGGATCCGCCACGCGGAGCTCCATCTCCTCGGCGGAGGGCTCCCGCCCACACAGCGGACAGACGCTGTCCAGGCGCACGGGGGGCGCCGCCGTGTGCGGGCGGTGGACCTCCTCCAGGCGGCGGCCGTCGCAGGCGAAGGCGTGGCTGCACCACTCGACGCCCTCGGCGAAGTTGCCGGCCATGGCGGCGAACCAGGCGCCGAAGGAGGTGCAGGCGTGCGGGCAGGCGTCGGGCCAGGGCTGGCTGGAGGAGCAGGTCTCGTACAGGCACACGTAGCCCTCCAGGTCGCTCATCACGTGGTCCTTCCAGGCCCGTGGGCTGAGGTGGGCGGCGACGGACAGGTCGAAGAAGCAGAACGGGCAGGTGAAGCGCTCGTCTGCGAGGGGGAACCGTGGCAGCACGGAAGTGTCTTGTCCCCAGAGGACGGCGTCCTTGGTGAGCCCGCGGATGCGGCGCTGGAAGTTCCAGAACCGCCGTCGCTGCACGACGAGGTCTACGAGTCGGCGGTGGAGGGCCGGCCGCGCGGTGATGGTCGGGCATTCCTGTGTGATGGCATCGCGGATGCACTCGCGGAACTGGGTGGAGACGTCGAGGCCGAGCTCGTTGCGGATGGAGCAGTAGAAGGACTGCGTGATCGGCGGGTTGGGGGCTGGGTACGTGGTGTGCACCGCGTGGTCGCGTCGCCAGAAGGTCAGGCGCCACACCGCGTGGTCCTCCACGCTGCGCAGGTTCTCGGTCCACTCGTCGACGAGGCGGCCGTCGTCCTGGGGTTCGGGGTGCGGCGGCGTCGCTTGGCGGAGCGCGAAGGTCACCTGGTCGATCTCGCACTGCAGCTCCATGAGGACCATGGTCATCTCGCTGCGTTGGCTGGGGTTGTTGCGCAGGATGTAGTCCCACGATGTGTGGACGGGGTTGATCATGATGTGGAACTCGGGCATATGGGTCAGGAATTGCTCGAGTCCCTCCTGGATGTTACGCTGTAGCTCCGAACTGGCGAGCCCTTGGGCGGTTGCTATGAGAGCATTGTATGACTGCACGCATCTGACCGCTTGGTCGAGGATGGGCGTGGTGCTGATCACTCTCTCCATGGTTGGTCTTTGTTTAGAAGGATAGGTTTGTTGTTCCAAGGAGGAACAGTGGAGGTCAGGTAGGCTATCGAATCATCGATAGTCCAGCCACTTTGGGCTTTTATACAGCGACGACATTTTCGAGGTGATCGCGAGAAAGATCGGCTGATTCTTTATTCACAAAACATAACCCCTGTGGCCGGCACCCAGTGAATGTGATTTATGTTTGTTACGGTTGACGGGAAACCTCGACTTCGCAGGCATCAGATAGGGGTCTTTGTTGATTGAGCGCAAGAACTGCTGTACAGAGGAAGTTTACCCTTACGGCTCGAATGAATATGCAATGCTTGATGGTAATTTCATGAGCAAGTTTGTGAACAGGCAACCGATAAAGGAACGCAACAAAGCGAAGCGGAGACAGACCCAACAGACAAGTAAAAACAATCCCGAACCAACACTGAAGCATAATTCTAACAAAAAAGAAGACCGGAAGATGTCGAAACTTCCTAAAACCCCACCCAACCATCGCAGCCTCACCCCTCCGTGAACGTCGAAAACACCTCCCGCTGCGCCAGGGCAAACTCGCGCTCGACCGTCTCCCGAATAGCCTCGCTGCGGAGCACCGGCCGAGTCCCGTAGGGCTTAGCACAGTACAAGAAGCCATGCTGATACCCAGTCACTGGATCGCTATCGCACGGCTCCCCCTCACCACCAGGCTGGAACTCGAACGCCCACAGCAGCTTCGCAATCGCCAGAAACATATTGCGCTCTGCCAGGTGAATGCCCGGGCAGATCCGCCGACTGACCCCATACCCATAATGATCGCGATTCTCCCAGGAACCCGGCACATACTCCGGCGCCAGCGCAGGGTGGTCCGCGAACCGTTCGGGCACAAACCTCGCCGGATCATACTTCCGATTCAGCCGATGATCCGGATCCATATGCATCCCCCAGGTATTGACGACGACCATCGTCCCCTTGGGCAGGAACCTCCCATCGACCCAATCATCCTGTCCCAGGGCGTGCGGAAAGCACAGCGGCAGGATCGGCCGCCAGCGGTGGCCCTCCTTGATAATCATGTTGATGTACGGCAGCCGGGCGAGGTCCGCCCACACAGGGGATCGACCGTGGCCTACCACTGAATCGATTTCCGCGTGGGCTTTGCGCTGCACCTCCGGGTTCTGGGTGAGGGCCTGCACGATGGCGAGGGTCAGGCTGGAGCTGGTGTCGGACCCGCCCTCCATCAGCACGCCGCCGATGAAGGCGAGCTGGTGGCGCGGCAGCTGGTTCCGGTCCTGGGACGCAATCACCCGGTCCATGAAGGTGTCCAGGTTCACCCCGCCCGCCCGCCGCTTCTCCACCCGCCGCAGGATGTCCTCGTACAGCGTCTCCATCTGCACCCCGATCGCCCGCGCCCGCGTCACGTAGTTGCCGAAGAGCGCCTCCGGCAGGCGCTTCAACCACGGGAAGATGTCGACCGGCGGGGTCGCGCCCGTCTCCATGATCTCCGACCATTGCTCCATCAGCGTGTACAGCCGGTTCATGTTGCTGCCGTGGCGGTCGGCGGTGCGGATGCCGAATACTAGTCGGCGTTAGCGATCTATCTTTCGCCTTGGGAAGGCCCTAGCAGCCAACGAGATCCCGCGGTTGCGGAGATTGACGAGAGTCAAGGAAACAGGGGGAGGGCCAAACCAATGGAATTGGTGATACTGTTGCTGAACCGCTTCGGATGGGCCATGTGATGCGCCGGGTCGAGCATGTAGTCGCGCACCAGCTGGATGGCCTCGGCGTTGACGATAGGCAGGTGCTGGCTGTCGACCATCGACTCCATGAGGTGCTGGTGCACCAGACGGCGGAAGGTGCGCCACTTGGGGCCGTAGTGCATCACCAGCAGGTGGTCGCCCTGGGTGATGAGCTCGTGCGAGACGAAGGAGTGCGGCCGGTGGCTGTACAGCGAGCTCTTGCTGTCCAGCACTTCTTTCACGATGCGGCGGTCCGTCACCACCGCCATGTTGCTGTTGCCCACCTTGAGCATGTACAGCCCGCCATACTGGCGGGCCCAGGCGGTGAATCTTCATTGATTAGTGGGTTTCTGGTGTCGAGTTCCGCAGATATGAGGTTTGGGGGCTGGACGTACTGAATGTGCGTGTAAGACTTGGGGATGAGATGCGCATTGCCAATGAAGGGTAGCGTCGGAGGGCCTGCAGATCGAGTAAGTGCATTGAGGTAAGAGTAAGCGAGCCACCAGATAGAACAGCCAACTCACCGCTAGGCATGTCCTTGGTCCGATATCCATAGGTCCAGGCGGCACGGATGAAAACCACGAGGAGGGCTATCGCCCCACCCAGCAGCCACACGATCGGTTGCATGTTTGTTGGGGTGTTTCGACGGCGAGTCTTGGCGAGCGAGGAGAAACACCAGAATAGAACCACCCTGTGAACTAGTGGAGATCTTGGTTTATCTAGTTGCGCCCTCGTTGGCGACAAAAATCATCCTTCAAGGGGGAGACGCGACCCCGCTTGGTGGTTGTCAGCCAGCCTGGAGCCCTGCAGCCTGCGGCTATCCCGAATGGGTAATGGACAAATCAGGATGCCCTAATATGTACGTTCTCGGAGGTTCGCGTCTTCACGCCTAAATGGGATGAGTTGAGAGACGGCCAGTGTGCATTGATCGAGGGGACCTTCTACGTATTCAGACTCGAAGGAGGTTCGAACTCTTTCTTCAGCAAGGGCGAGAGTACTGTGATACAGGACAGAGAGACGGAGGTAGTTGGGGCAGATGACACAATTGCCCTAAACGGATAGCCAGCAGACAACTCCTTACGGTAAATGCGGGGCACCCACAACGCTCCCTTAGGTAATCGTGGCATTTCACAGCCAAACAGCCAGTAAAGTATCATGCAATAATGCGACTAAACCATACACAGAACACTTGCCAATTCCTTGACTCTTGCATAAACAGGTTTACGTTTACAAGGGTTGCCAAGCAACTGCCTAGTACGTATTATCTCCGTACTAAATCTTAGAAAACATCATTGGCCTCCGCCCGCTTCAGGCGGGGGAACAACTGCAGCGCATTCTCCTTCAGCGTCTCGACCGTAACTCCATCCGGCAATAGCGCGGCCTCCTCCTCCACGAACCGGGTAAACTGCACGATGGCATCCCGGGGCGCGTTGGGGAAGTCGCTCCCAAAGAGGATGTGACCCGGTTTGGCGAAGCGGGCCAGGGCGGAGAGGGTGACCTCGTTGGCGGAGATGGCAGTGTCGAAGTAGAAGAGCTCGCGGGCGGTGTCGAGGATCTCGTCGCGGCTGAGGCCGATGTTACGGTCCGGGGGCATGCAGGGGAGCATGGTGGCGGCGCGGTGGATGAGGTAGGGCAAGGTGCCGCCGGCGTGGGAGAGGATGACGCGGCAGCCGCGGTGCTGGCGCAGCCGCCCCGAGGTCAGCAAATCCATGGCGGTGCGCCCCGTCTCGTGCGGGTAGTCGAACATCGGCTGCGGCAGGGCGGGATTGATCAGGGCGGTATCCTGCGGGTGCGTCGGGTGGATGAACACCACCGCCTGCCGCCGGCTGAGTTCCGCCCAGATCGGGGCAAATGCCTCGTGGCCCAGGTAGTTGGGGCCCTGGCCGTAGCGGGTGAAGAGGGTGACTCCGTCGGCGTGGAGCTCGTCCAGCGCGTAGCGGATCTCCTCGAGGGCCAGCGCTGTGTCGAAGAGCGAGGGCACCGAGGCGAAGAACCCGTATTGGGCGGGGGCGGCGTCGCGGATCGCCGCGGCGGAGCGGTTGCACTCCCGCGCCAGTGATGCCGCCGCGGCGGGCTCTTTGGCAATCACTGGGCCGGGGGCAGTCACGGAGAGGATGGTTGTCGTCACGTTGAGGGTGTGGTTGATCTCCTGGTCGAGTTCCAGCGTCCATGGGGGGATGTACCAGCCCGAGGGGTCGCCGCCGGCCGCTTCCAGGGCTGATGCCGTACATTATGATCATGTTATCGCAGCTAAAGAGAGAGGGTTGGGGTTGTGTACTCACCCTCGCGGAAGGCTTGAGGGTAGAAGTGGTGGTGCACGTCAATCTTCATTTTGTTCAGTATTAGTCGGAATAGTGTATTGCTTTGCAGAGGATAATTTATCTTCTTTGACTGGCAGAGGTAATTTACGACCCCAAGTATTGTTATATGTCACTTCATCTTCCAGGAACAGGAAGTGAACAAGCTTTCTCCAACCGAGGTAGTCTCGGAGCAGACAAACGTTCTACCTTGTTGGGAATAAAGCTGATCTTACTATGCCCAAAGGAGAGCACGATGCAGTGAGATGAGATGAGACGAGATGAAACAGGCTGACATTCACTAAGCTTATGCATAAATACGAGACGCTCGGACCCCCTTCCGTCACTCTGAACCAAACCCTGTTCTTCGTGCCCCTCCCCCACTAAACCAAGCAAGAACAAGAAATATCTAATCAAATCGGGCGAAAACCCCCTGCGCTTCCTGGAATTCCCTGACAATCGTGTCTCGCTTCTCCGGTGCCCGCAATCGGACTCCACACCCGTACTCCTTGGGGCAATGCAGGAAGCCCTGACTGGCCCCGGATTCCGGGTCGATGTCGCTGTAACTGCCCCTCGGCTGCGTAAACTCAAACGCCCACAGCAACTTGGCCACGCCAATGATGAGGTTGCGTTCCGCGAGATGGATCCCTGGACAGATGCGGCGCCCAGCCCCGTAGCCATAATGGTCGCGCTTGTCCCACTCGCCGGACGCCGCATACGTCGGCGCCAAGGCCGGGAACTCCTCGAATCGCGCGGGCTCGAACCGCTCCGGCTCCGGCCAGCGGCGGGGGTCGTGGTGCATCGCCCAGACGTTCAGCACCACCGTGGCCCCCTTGGGAAGGACCATACCGTTGATCTCGTCGTCCTGCGCCACCGCGTGCGGCACCCCCAGTGGGCTGACCGGGCGCCAGCGGTGAGCCTCCTTGATGATGCAATTGATATACGGCAACTGCGCGGCATCAGACCAGGCTGGCGAACGGTCCGCTCCGACCACGCGATCAATTTCCGCGTGGGCTCTAGAGAGGAAGAAACAAGGCAACCGGTTAGATTAGAACCCTGCAAAGAATAGACTTGAAACATGCAAGGGGTGATGGCTGTGCAGGAGTGAGGGGTTCGTATCCAACATACCGGGCCTGCACGGCAGGAAACTTGGTCATCGCCTGGATGATGGTCAGAATCAGCGAGGAGGAGGTATCGGAGCCCCCTTCCATGAGCACCCCGCCCAGAAACCGCAGCTGGCTCTCGGTCAGGGGCACCTTGTCCAGCCGGTCCAGCACGCGGTCCATGAACGAATCGCGGTTGATGCCGCGGGCGCGGCGGTCGCGCACCTGGTCCAGCACGGTGGTGTACAGCGACTGCATCAGGTTCTCGACCTCGAGGGCGCGGTGCCGCCAGTGGCCGGTCATCCACTGCGGGAGCACGCGCAGCAGCCAGAAGTCGTCGACGGGCGGGGTGGCGCCCAGCTCCTGGACTAGGGACCACTTCTCCATCAGATAGAACAGCCGCTCCATGTACTCGTCGTGGACGGTCTTGGAGCGGATGCCGAAGACGAGCGAGTTGGTGATGCTGTTGCTGTAGCGCTTGGGGTGCAGCATGTGGTCCTGCGGCGCGGTGAGGAAGTCGTACAGCATCTGCTTCGCCTCCGCCTCCTGCACCTTCCAGTGCTCCTTCTCGCAGTTGGGCTCCATGAAGTACTGGTGTACCGTCTTGCGGAGCATGCGCCACGTGTCCCCGTACTGCATCACCAGCAGGTGGTCCGAGTGGGTGATCAGATGCGACACGAGGGATGCCGGCCGGTGCGAGTAGACATTGCTCTTCTTGTCGACGAGCTCCTTGATCAACTTGCGGTCACTGATCACAATGGTGGTGTTCTTGAAGCGTTTCAAGGAGAATATTCCCCCGTATTCGTCGGCCCATTTCATGAATCTGTGGACGTGTTAGGCAAGATGAGGCGCATATGTCACGAATGAAGTGGGTGCATGAGCCTTACTGGAAATGCGCATCCGCTTTGGGGATCTGCAACTCGTTGCCAAAGAAGGGAACCGTTGGAGGACCTGCGATTGGATTAGTTTCTTGTGGTACTGGTTTAAGAACACTGGCTTAAGCAAAATATTTGTTGTACGCACCGGGAGGCAAAGAAGCATCACGGCGGCCAGATTTCAATGCAGCAAAGAAGAGAAACAGGATGCCTGCGACCGCCGCAGCGGACGCAGCGACGACGGCGAAAGGAGACACTATCAAGCTCATGGTGGGTGTAATTCTCCTCTGGCAGCTCAGCCAGAATGTCGAGCGTAGACGAATATAAAGAGAAACGAAGTAAGCGAGGACTAGCTCTGCCTTGCACGGCACCTTATCCGGAAGGAGTTTCGGAGTTCAAGGTGACTTGGTATTGCTTTGTTCCTCTGGTGTTTTTGGCATCCGTATTCGCTTCGGTCGACCTGAGGAAATGTGCCCAAAAGGGTAATGGCCGGAGGTCCAAGTGAGAATCTCGAGCCGCAATGCTTATCGGGTTGAGACAGATACAGGGGCATGGCACTTGGTTCTCTCTTGACTTCGATCATTTCTAATTGCGCCGTCAATGGTCTATTGTAAGCTTTTGTCACATTCGTGACTGTGCCACGTGCTTGATTCCTGATTAGCGAGGTGAGGGTTTTCGTAAATCCCACTACGCCCATCATTTGTAGTGTGTCGGATACAATTGCCAAAATATATTCTCACTCCCCAACTCTACCCCATGACACATGGGCCTTGACTGTCTTTGGACGAGTAGAATTACAAATTGCCTCATCCGTAGTCGACCTAATTACTCAAGTATTCTTGAATCTGAGTATCTCGTTCTATGCGGTTGATGATAACACTATCTTGATCCCGCAAAGTGTTCAGCGCTCATGAAATGTTCAATCCGGGTTGCGTAGGCATGAAATCGAACCAAGAAAGTAATCTCTTCAAAAAAACGGAAGATAGCAGGGAATTAATTTGACTCAATATAGAGGAAGAAGATATGGTTTGAAATGTGAAGAAGAAAGATAGAAAGTTCAATTTAAACTAACGATAAGAATGCTTCAAATAAACCCAATGCTAAACTATAAACAAGAAGAAAGGATCCACTCAATGAACCCCATTCGTGCCATTTACACCATTGGTGCCATTGGCAACCCGCTTCTTCAGCGCGACCACATCCTCCCAATCCGCCCCCGTTGTGGTGCCATTCGTGCCATTAGTAGCATGTCCGTTGACCCCGTTAGTGTGCCCATTGACACCATTGGCATGTCCATTCACTCCATTCGGCGTACCACGAGCCGCGCCATCCACAAAGACACCCTTCTCATACTGCACAGGCGGCAAGACCAGCGCCTTGGGTGACATATCCTGCACCCAGGGCTCGAACTCGGCGTTTTCGGGCCGGGACGCCGCCTCCAGCGCGACCTGGGCGTCCCAGTTCTTCTCGGCCGCGTAGGCGTCGTGCACCAGATGCCGCTGGAAGAACGAGCCCTTCATCTTGGCGACGGCGAAGTCCCAGTCGGTCGTGTACTCGCGGAAGAAGGGCTTGTAGCCGAGCAGGCCGCCGATCCAGCGGCCGACGATCACGCACGTCCAGTAGCCGACCTGGCGGCGGAAGGGGACCCACGCCGGGGCGGGAGTGTATGCGTCTCCGCCGTCTTGGATCTTGATCGGTTATTAGTGTGTGCTCTACATTGGTTGGTGGACGCAAGCGCAAACTCACAGCCAGAAACTGAATCCAGTCGAGCCCGCCATCGTGCAGTAGGGCATCATGCCAGTAGCCGTACCAGTTCTCGAAGAAGATACGGTCCAGCTGGTAGTCCATACCCGAGTCCGAGGCGCTGAGGTAGACGGTCATGCTCTCTTCCGAGTCCGGGTGGATGAAGAAGTTGTGCACGCTGCCCGCCTTCACGGACACCTCCCCGTCCGCGGCGGTCACCCGCTTGACCTGGCCGTTGACGTTGATCCCCATGACTCCGGACTCGACGCGGAAGTACTCCGTCTGGAACTGGTGAAAGTGTGGCGGGGGACCCTTGGGCCGGTCGGGGCTGTTGATCAGCTTACGCAGGTTGTCGGGGATGGGGCCTTCCACGTTGTGGCGATAGGTCTGGCGGAACAGGAAGCATCTTCCCGGTGGGGGCTCCAGAAACTCAGTGGTGAGGAGACCGCCGAATCTAGGTTATTATTAGTTATAAGAAGATCTGAGGGCCGAGCTGTATCGCTGTAATCGCGGTAGACATACTTGACAATCTTCGACTGGCCGGCCGAGTTGTGGTACGGGACAAAAGGCGCCATTGTAAATAATTAGTGTGTGTATGCAATTTGTATCCTAGCAACGGCGGCAAAGAAAACAAGTTTGACTTGGAGGGATTGAGTTCTGATAAGTGCAAATTTAAACTTCGAACAGCCGTTATCGTATACATCATATATAAGACAGAAGACAATCACAAGCTTGTGCATCGAACAATCTATTCTTCAAAGGGTCTGTGGGTTTCGAATCCCTGTCGAGTTTGCTGTTTTGGATCGCGAGGCCGAACGACTCCTTTAGGCAATCGCCAACTCCGCTTAGGGCTTACTCGTGCATGCAGATCTGCAGCGTTTTCCCTCCGTGCTCGCAGCATGACAACAGGAGATTCCTCACGCGTTTTCTTTTGTCTTTTCTGGAAGCTGGATCTGGATCATCCTAGTTCCGAATTCTGCATTACCGCATTTGTCCCTCCCGGATCCGTGCTCACACGTGTCTGCCGTTGGACTCGATTGAGATAGTCATCTTGATGCTCAATGGAGATGCTAGATGCGAGGGGCTTGATCAGGCTCTGCTGATTGAGACGAAGAAACAGAGCAGAATTGAGAAAAGCCTTTGACTCAGAAGCGCTCGTTCAAGAACGCAGTATATAACGACCATCATCCATCATCAACGAATCCATCATCAGCACAATACATCCCGGCCCAGCCCACCACAGCAGGCAGAGAACAAAGCCCAGACGCTCGACTTCACTTCACTCCTCAATTCTTCCAAGTTCTCAAGGTTTCTCAAGTCTT